GGGCAACCGCAGTGAGGCGGTTGCTCGTGGGTCGTCTGACGAGTCGTCTCGAGGCCCTGTCCATGATAAACCGAGCTGGCATCAGGGTCGTCGTCCCAACCTCGAGCCACAGAGGCCCATGCACCCGCCAAAGGCTGCATCGGCTACATCATGCTACATCAAGCTACATCAAGCTCTGCGTTCCGAGCTCTGCGTTCCGAGCTCTGCGTTCCGAGCTCTCCGCCAGAGGCACCGCTGTGCGGGCCACGGCTGGCGCAGCTGGCGGGGTCGCTGTCCGGCTCGCTGCCGGCGCCGGCGCCGCTACTGGGCTCTCACTGGGCCTTGCGGTGCAGGACCTGCGAGAAGAGATAACAGTGGGCTCAAGCTGGGTCGAAGTGCTGCGCACACGAGTCATGCATTGCGCCATGCTTTGCATGTGCCTGGGGCCGGCCACGGCGTTGGGGATGGCTTTGGGCAGCAGGCCCGAGCCCTGCAGCCAGCAGCCTGCGCAAACCGGGGGCTTCTCAAGCTCTGCACAGTGACTGCGCAGCTTCGCACAGCTTCGCACAGCTCTGCCTCCACCCTCGACGTAGTATGTGAACACCTCAGATATCCACTGAGAAAGGCTTCAATGGTTTTGTACTCATCCCCACAGTATCGATCCCTGCCAAGACCCAAGCAGAGCAGTCCAACTTCTGTGCCTCAGGTTGGCTTTTGTTGTCAAGTTTCCATCCGCTTGGAGATATCTGGGGGAAGTCAGGGGTGCTCGCTTAGCTCGGGGAGCAGCCTTCGTGTGGCTGGGAGCCCGGCGCACTTCTGCTGGCAAGCACTTGCATCTCGCACGCCAGTACCACCATTGACTGAAGTGACCACGGGGTCATCATACCTAAACACAACGGCTTCATACGGCTTCTACGTTTCACTGGCATGCTGCTCTCCACCGAGAGGAGCGCCCCTGACCAACAATGGCACAGGTGGGAACACCTGGGGCTCTGTTTGACGCACTAGACAAAGCTCTGTCCTCCTCTCTCAGTGGACCATTGAGGCACGAGCTGGCCTGGCCTGGTCGGGCCATTGAAGCCAAAAGCGCCTCAGAGGAAGTCTTCCCAAGACATTCCAGGAACTCTCCAAGCGGAACTGACAGGTAGCGGCACGTGCCAGCATGCAACAAGCATGCAACATGTCACAGAACGCGACTTTCCAAGTCATCTTTGTTTTGGACTATTTGCTGTGAGATAGATTCATCTGTGGTGCCCACAACCCAAGGGCTGGCTTTTGGCTTGTAGAACTCTGCTAAGACGTCTCTCCTCGTTGAAAGGCACCAGAAGCATGGATTCTGCGGCTCGAAGCCACAGAAACCCAAGAGCACGCGCAAAACTCGCGATATGGCAGGCTGCAGGGTCTGGACTGCTTGTTCCAAGCTGGTCTCCACTTCCCTGTTACATTCATTACATTCGGTACACATGGATCGGATTGATCAATAGATTCGGGGGAGTCGATTCGATAGACATACTGAAATATTCGATACGCGTCAGTGCGTCTCAGACACTTCATAGTTTGGGTAGCCTGCTGAATAAGATTGGGACTTGGATGACAGCAGTGCCAGCTACAACCAAAAATTGCGAGCGGTCTCCATGATGCTCTGCACTTTCAACTTACACAAAGGAAGGCCGCGGCATGAGGCGGCATTTGAAATGAGAAATCAATGCGAATTATCTCTCCATGTAGCTTAAGTGTCACATGCAGTTTGCTTTTGCAGGGACTGCTCAGGCTCACCAAGGCGCCCATCCTGCCAGGTTCCCAATTATACGACGAGGCTGACTCAGGCTGACGATAGGGCGCAGAAAGCTCGCAAGAAGGGGCCGCCCCTGGCCTCTCACACGTCGTGGCTAAATCGGCACTCATCCCCGAACTTGCAGCTTCCGTTGTCCCTGTGCGCAAAACAAGGCCGGCAAAAAGGGCCGCTAAAAAACTGTAAGACATGCTGGCAGAGAGAGCTCAGCGCAATCAGCGCAATCCCCAACTTTGACGCTGAGCCTGAAGTCGTAGCACACGCCTGACCCAGAAAGCGTCTCTCAACGCAGAGCCGGCAGAGCGGCCCCGTTCACTCCGAGCAGTTCCGGGCAAACGGAGGAGGGAGGCCTTTGCCCTTGCCACCCTTTCCTTTGCTCTTTCCACCCTCCGGGCAATCGCGGGCCTTAGAATCATAGCGCAGAAATGAGAGAGGTGGTCGCAAAGGCTCGCAAACGGCCTCTCGCAATGTACACCACGCTGCTCTTTCAGGCTTCTTGCAGCTTGGGCCGCGAAGTGGTCCCCGCCGCAGTTGAAGCATTCCACGGACTTGCCCTCACGCAAGTCACATCGCAGCTCAGAGAGAGAGAGAGAGAGAGAGAGAGAGGGAGGGAGGTTGGGAGGGAGGGAGGGAGGGAGAGGGGCAGAGGGAGAGACGTAGAGAGAGAGAGAGGGAGGGAGAGAGACGCAGAGAGAGACGGAAAGAGAGAGAGAGGGAAAGGGAGAGAGAGGGGAAGCAGTACAAAAAGAGTCGAAGCCAAAGAACACAGGCCAAAGAACACAGGTTCGGCCTTGCTCTTGCCTTTGCCCTTGCCACCATCAGGGCAATCTCGGGCCACATGGTCGCCTTACACTGTGGATACTGTGGCTATTCCACGATGCCCCTAGTTGAAACGACTTCTTCTCAGCCCGGCCAGCTCCCTGCAGCCTCTATCTGAGTTCAGGTTCTCCCTTTTGGGGTGTCCAGGCTCGGCGGTGTGTGTTTCAAGCTTAAGCCTTACGGCTACTCGGCCACTAGCTTTAACGTCCTCCTTGATCTGTGGCCTACACGGAACGTGGTCTTCCTTGTCCCCCACGCCCCCTCCCCGCCATTCCCCTTCGCTTCTTCCACGTGCATGTCGTTAATGGAGCATCTTCTTCCATCAGCAAACATTCTTCAAGTGCGTACCCTTTCGAATCCGAGCTCTGCATCCATTCCTGTGCGAAGTTGGATCTCATCTGCGCGTATCTACTACATCAAAACATACTATGAGTACGCGATGGGGTTTACAACCTGCCTCACAGCAAGAAAGCTCAATCTCGCCTCATGCCTGGCAATGAGATGCAGCCGCTGGGGTGTTAGCGGTCACTGACTTGTGCATGACCACTCTCATTGGCGCGCACACACACACACACACACACACACACACACACACACACACACACACACACACACACACACACACACACACACACACACACACACACACACACACACACACACACACACACACACACACACACACACACACACACACACACACACACACACACACACACCACACACACACACACACAACACACACACACACACACACACACACACACACACACACACACACACACACACACACACACACACACACACACACACACACACACACACATACACACACCCAAAGTGCATGCCAAGTTGTAAGGTGAATGCACGGCTTTCCCCAGCAGGGTGCTCTCGTGGCACTACCCCTGAACCTCACCTGCAAGGCAATAGGTCCCTATTTTCCCTGTAACCCTTCCCCTCCACCCCTCTTGCTTCTGAGCATCCGCCACAGTTCCAGCAGCTGATCGGGCCCTGGCTGCTGCGACAATCATACGACCGCATGGTGCCATTCGGCTGGGTGGCTAGAAGGTGCGAAAGACTAGGAGAGCTGACCTCATTGTTACTCACCCAAAATGTTTGAAGCAGTTTAGCTAGGTGATGCGGCAATAGGCTAGGAACGCACGGTACTGGCAAGGGTGATGTGTGAAATGCAAAAATTTAGAGAATCTGCGATACTGCTCTGTGAAACCGTGAGAAATATTGAGAAATCCTAGAGGGAAACCGGGGAGACTCGGGGAGACCCCCACAACCTGAACATGGGAGGGCTCTCGTGCTCTGAATGCTCTCTCTCGCTCTCTCTGTGGCCTTGCTCTTTCCTTTGCCATCCTTGCCCTTGCCCTTGCCCCCCTCGGGGCAATCGCGGGCGAAGTGATCACCTCGATCTCCCACACCACGCAGCCCAGGCCCTAGCAGGCCCTAGCAGGCCCTAGCAGGCCCTAGCAGGCAGTCCAGTCCTTTTTAAGCTCCTGGCCACCGCAGTTGAAGCACTCGATAGGACCTCCCATGACGAAAACCTTGGAGTGAGGAGACCGAGAGGAGGAGACTGAGGAGACCCGAAGAGCAGAGTGGAGTTTTCAGTGTAGCTCTTCCTTCTTTTTTTGAAGATAACTCTTCGCTCAGGTGCCTGAGGATCTCGGTGGGACGCTCTGGACTCTCGAGGATGGCTTCAGCCAAAAAATGCTGCGCGTTTCAACAAATGTCGGCACGATGCGTAGCTCAGACAAGAGCAAAGCTGCCTCTCAGCTGCCTCTCAGCCGTCTCTCAGCATGTCTGCACGCTGCAGCAGCAAGCCATGAGATCCCATGAGCTTCAGCACCACTCACCCCAACAGTTTCCCAGTTCCGCTGCTTTGCCTCCCCGATGCGGCTCCTTGCACCCTCTGAAGCAACGATCACTCAACGTTCTGGGGCACAGACGGGCGCCAGAAGGCGCATAAGTCCTTCAAAGGGCTTGGACTCCGGGACGAAGAGCCGCTAATTTTTCAAAACGAATGCAACAACAGACATACAGTAACCCTGCATGTCACTGGATCTCAGGTGCGTGGGAGGTCCTGCCCGAACCTTTAAAACAGGATTTCCCGATGTGGTTCAGGGTGACACGTCTTGAGCCCAAAGCAGCAGAACATGGGCAAAGCAAAACAAGAAACGTGAGCAAAGCTTCTCAATGGCAAGTTGCAGAGTCTTGAGGGCGAGGGGCTCTCTGCGCGGGTCAGGTCTTTTAGCTCATGGCAGCAAATCGCACTCGGCCTACTTCAGCTTAACTTGAAACCTGATGTGTCCGACATTAGTTGATCTGCGAACTGCGTGCTCACTGACTCCGAGGCAGATGTGTCTCTGCTTCTGTCTTGCACTCTGTTGCGACATTGGAAGAACTATCTTTGGAACTGCGTCAGAGACTCCAGCGGGCCAGTGATGCAGTAGCGATGCCCCTTGGTCGCGTGGCCCCACACGTCTGCACGAGCGTTGGTGCCTGGCGGTGCGATCTGCAGATCTGCGTCAGAAAACCCCTAACCATACAAAGGTACCGTTACCATGCGTTGCCGTGAGGATGCCGTGATGCCGTGAGGATGCCGAGTCAATGCTGTCAATGCTGGGTGAATGCTGAGTGAATGCTGAGTGCTGGCACCTCCGAAGCCGAAGGATGACACGCCAGTGAGCCCGCTGTTGTAGCCTTCCAGAGGGCGCCACTTTGCCAGGGACTTCCCAAGCAGGGGGGGGGGGGGGGGGCTTCCAGGAAAACTGGGAAGCTTCAAGGAGATGTTCTGGGCGCGCGACCGTAGTCGAGCAGTTCCGACTCGAAGTACACGGGATAACCTCTGCACCAAACCGACAAATAATAAAGCGATCTGAAAACACAACGAAGTGCCCCAGAGAGAGAGACTTCTCAAAGAGCACGGGGTGCCCCTCCGGGGCCCTGGCCGGCCACGTCCAAGTGCGGGTTGAGCACCAAAAGGTGGATGTTGGGGGCGCCAGAAGAGTAGTTCAACATACAGATGCATTTGATCAAGCCTGTCCACAGATCGAGCATCATCGCTTGCACATTTTGCCACGTGCATGACAGTACATGGCGGTAAAATGGCTCCGGCTCGCCTGCCATGCCGGCCCCCGCTTCCAAGTGGCCCAGGTTCGTCTTAGAGCTCGTCTTCAATATCGGGCGGGCGCGATCTGCTCGCATGACCTTGGGGCTTTGTGCTGATGCTAAGAGGTTTTACGGAGGTTTATGGAAGTTACCGGCCATATCTCCGACTACTCAGTTGCTCGGCTGACTTAGCTCCTCAGCCGAGAGGCCCCTCGCAGGGCACCGATTTCGATCGGATCTCCAAGCGCCGTCCCTGGCACGGCGATGCTTCTAATTCTGCGAGTGCTTATTCGACCAGGAAAGACACAGGCGCCGCACAGGTGGAGCCTGTTCCATGGCACTCGGCAATGGTGATACTGTTCGGCGACAAGCCGGCCTCTCCGCTAGAACGCACCCAGCAAAGCAAATTCAGTCAACAAGAAGCCACCCGGCGCATGCCTCGCGCATAGACTGCCGAATGACTTCCTGCTGCGATGGTCCTCACGCAGACACAAGTCAGTCAGAGGGCACTACAAGTAGAGAGAAGCAGAGCAAAAACACAAACGAAAGAAAGCTCCGAGGATCTCTAAGACAACAGGCTTAAAAAGCAGTAAGCAAAGAGCACCATGCTACAAGAACCAACTAAAACTCCGGAAGGCACTCACCACATGCTGTGGCCGACTCCCCACATGTTGAGAATGTTGAGAGAGCACAAAGGCGAAGAGAGAGAGGGCCCCGGACCGTGCGGCGCCGTCATGGATGCACTGCGGCCGTCCTGTGGTCAGGGAGAAAACAACCTCTGCGAACGAGAGAGCGACTTGAAAAGCAAGACAAGGTGGAGAGAGGGAGAGGGAGAGGCAGAGACAGAGAGAGAGAAAGAAGTCAAAGAGAAGAGAAGCGAAGAGCGTGTACCCCAAAGCGAGCTTGAACTCTTCGTTGAGGCGCTGGGCCTGGTTGACGCTGCAGCCGATGAGCATTGCAACTCGGCCAGCTGCGTCGACTGTGTCCTCACAGACCTCCCGACATTCCACGAGCATGTATGGGGGGCGCCTCCTCTACTGCACTCCTCAGGCCAAGTTATCAAAAGAGCGTCATATTGCAACGGACTTCAAAATCCCCCGAAACAGCCTCTTTGTAAAGCAACCCCCCACCCTCCGCCGAAGCCCCGAGGGGAGAGCATCCGGGAGCCTTGAGCTTGATGGAGCCCACGCCCTCGCCTCGCGCGAAGCCATCCGCCGAATTGTCAAAAGTGAAGCACCTCACAGCGCGAAGTGAAGAGAGCCAGAGAGCAGAGAGAGGGAGAGAGAGAGGGCTAGAGAGAGCGCAAAAAAGAAGATGCGAGAGAGAGTGAGGACCCCGCCCCTTGTACGCGGAGTGGGCTGAGAGGGGCTGCTGAGGGGGGGGGGGGAGGGGGGAGGGGGATTTGGCAAAAACAGGCCGCCCTCTGGGGCCGCCGCCGGCCCTGGTGCGTGAGCATGCCAGGGCCGCTCAAGGAGATGTAGCCACCGGGCCCCAAAAGCAGATTGCTCCCGATCTCGGATCAGCTTCAGATAGCGCAAACGAACTTCTCAATTGTGGAACTCTCTCGAGCGGTCTCTCAAACACCCGCGTTGCGCACCACAAGGCCGTGCTTCAGCTCGGTTGTGATGTTGGGCGTCTGCTGGTCCTCCAGCTTTGCCCTCAGGGGTGCAAGTCAAAAAGGACTGACGACGAAGAGTTCTTGCAGTAGGTTGAAGGGTTGCTCAAAGAGTTCCCTTCAGCATGCGAAGACACACGCGCGCACGTCGGGCAGTTGTGCAAGCAGATGGCCCCTCTGGCAAACTGCGGTCATGCGACCTCATCGTCATCTGTGCGATGCCTGTGGCAACCAGACTTGACGAGCCTCAGCAAAGAGTCCCACACTCGAGTTCTTCCTCATGGCAGCATGCACCAGCACCGAAATGGCGGACGCAAAGTGAGGTCGGGACAAGCTGTTTCTGCAGTGCTTGTTGGACCAGTCAAGCCGAAGATATGCGACAGGCGATTTGCAGCTGCAGATCGCTCCCTGCATGGGAGCGCAGAGGACCGCAGGACCGGCCATAGCCCTCAACCCCCCCTCAGTGCACTCAGCCCACTCAGCCTGCCCCCGAACTTGAGGGGCATGTCCTTCGGGGCGGTGTAGTGAATGCCGTCCCAATCGGAACCTTTCAGATTTTCAAAGCGACGAGGCAGTGCTGGCAGTGCTGGCACTCTCCGGGCACCGGGCCGGAATCTCCACAGAAGACGCCGCACTTCCAGCCCTTCAACTCACTCCGCCGGTGGCCCGAGTTGTGCAGGGCCTCATAGCCCACCTGGAGAGTGCACACCGGAATGCACGGCAGCACGGCAGAGTGCACACCCCGAAAACCACTGGAAGAAAGACGGGGCCGGGGAGCCTCTAACATCACTCGCATGTAGGGAGCCATTTCGATAGCCTGGCAGGCAGGTCTTTGCATCAGTGCTCCTGCCCGGGCTCCCGAACGGGGCCTCTCTCTGCTCGATGCCAAAGAACTGGTTGTCGAACATCTCGATTTCGGACTGGTGCGCAGAGCCAGGCGCTACAGTGACAGCCAAACCAGCCCAAAACCGTCGGACTGCATGTGCTCACGGTGAAAGAGCACAACAGCTGTCCTGTTGCAGGTTCGCTCCATGGCAGGTCATCGAAAAGCCGATGGTATGCTCGGCCCTGGCCACTGTTGCATGCTGCAGAAACATGAAATACTCGAAAGGCCACGTAAATGAGATGAACTGGAGCCTGCATCAATCAACCCCCCCTGTCCAGCCTGTAGTAGATGTCTGTGTCCCAGCGCTGGATGGGAATTTTGACCTCTTCAAGCAAAGCTGGTGCTACCGTACCCAGGGACCAAGATGCTGCAGCAACGAAGGGCGGCGTCCCTGGTCTTTCCGGCCTCTGTGTCTGTGCCAGCCACCAGCATGTTCCAGTAAGCCTGGAGAGACCAATGAGCGTGAATTGGCTCTGCTGCGTGCTTGTGCTGCGACCAGCAAAAATCGCCGTGGCCCGCCTGGACTTCAAATCCGAGTCCAGGGTACCGGGTGCACACCTCAGCGGCACCCTGTTTTGCTTGAAGGGGGGGGGGAGGGAAAGGGGAAGGCCTAAGAAGACTTCGTTGGAGCACCGTCTTCCCCCCTGCGCTTTCCTCTCAAAAAGAAGAAAGGAGCTCTCTTTGCAGTCTGACACCGGCACCCCGCCAAAAACAGAGAAGAGGAGTGTCAGCAGCCCTTTTGCACCAGAAGCCCAAGTGGCCCCCATGACGTTGTTCCGCCGGCCCTCCGGCTCTTCCGGGCCGTCCAGGATGCGCAGCGCCTCTCAAAACGGGCAAAGCACCAACAAAATGAACAAGGAAAAATGGCGCAAAGAAACCCAACATAAAGGTCCGCAGACGGTGTAACAACGTCTCCAAAGCAGACTCCACAGCGCCTCCTCCTTGTCCTTCCAGGCGGATGGGACGTCCAGGACCCAGCTCTGCAGGGCCATGTGCTTACCTTCCATCTCAACTTCTGACACACGCTGCTACACTTCTGCCGCCTTTGTTGCACCGCAAAAAAAGGGGGCCCACCAGGGGAACTGACTTGAAACTGAAGGCCTTTGGGGCGGTAGCTGTAGTTCAGGCCCAGGGCATCGCATCGAAAGACGATGAGCTTGTTCTTCGAGAGGGGAAGTGTCACCTCCCGGAAAAAAATCGGCGCATCCCCTACCCCCCCCCCCCCCCAAAAAAAAAAAAAAAAGAGAGAGAGAGAGAAAACTGCTCACTTTTCTGGCAGCTTGTGCAGCAGTCCCAAAGAACCCTCCTCGTTGTAGTCGTAGCCGGTGGGATTTGGAAAAAGCTCCAGTTCTCCACCATCCTCAGCTGTCGCAGCGAATGCCCAAGCTGAGGCCGCAACTTGGCAACGCCGCAACGCAACGCCGCAACGCAACGCCGCAACGCAACACCGCTATCTAAGACCTCCGCATTGTCTACCAGGAAAATCATCGCAAGGCGTCTGGCAGGCGATGTGGTGCGCTTCACTGCAGAGGTACCGAGTTTCTGAAATCAAGCTGCACCCGCGGTTTCTTTCTGTGTTTTTCGGGTGATCAGAATGCCCAGCCGTCGTGTGAAATCAGCACCGGGCTCAGCCATTTGCAGCACCTGGCGCTGGATTTAAGCTGGTCAGGCAGGCTTGCCATCTACGAAGGCGATGTGCGTGTCGAGCTCGCTCTGCTCGTCCTTCCGCATCGTGCCCATTGCATACGAGCGCCCTACAGGTCAGACGGAGTCATACGGGTGCCTGCCCGAAGGTCCGACTCCTGACGCCTGCACCGACAACCACAAGATGTGTGCAAAGAAAGGAAGCAAGGATAAGCAAGGTAGGGCGGTGCCTTCGTCACCAGGATTGATGGAGGATCTCACCTGGTCGCTCTGCACATGCAAAACCAAGAGACGATGGCGTGAGTCAGGGGCCCAGGCCAGGCCGCTGGTACGCTGAAACACGGCAAAAGCCTTGTCATCTTCGTATTCGGGCGTGTATGGCCTCAGGCCAACTGCTGACTGATAGCGGCATGGAAGCGGAGTGGCAAGAGAAAGCACTTTGGCGGCAAGGGGAACGGAGGTACGGAGTGAGCCATGGAGTGAGCCATGGGGGGGGGTGGGCGGGGGAGGGGCAGGGAGCGCATGCCGCATGCCGCATGCCCAGGAGGCGGTCCACATCAGCGCTGCCACGTTGGTCAGCGCTCTGTCGCAGAGCTCCAGCGGTGCCTCAGCAAAACAAAGGAAAAAAAAAAAACACCACGCGCCAAAGATGCGGAAAGCAAGATGGTGTGCAAGGTTCCCCCTTTGCTAGGGGACCCCCGCCAGGCGATCCATCTGCATGTTGGGTCCCATCTCCTCGATGTCGTACATCCGGAGCCCTGAACCTCTGCTCGCCTGCAACCGAGTTTTCCCCATCCACGCACAAGCTACGACTTCTACGAGAAGGATTGCTAGGGCCGCTAGGGCCGCTAGGGCCGCTAGGGCCGCCAGAATGTGGGGGACTTTATGGTGTTGGCGCCTGGTAGCCGACGTACTGGAGCCAGGCAACCTTGCAGTCGCTGACCTCCACACCCAAGTACTCCTCCTCCGTCTCCTCAGTGAAGAGCCGGATTCAACACATGAGTAGCGGTCCAAACCTCTAGTACGTCCCGAATGCCGCGTGGAATAGGGTCGGCCCCTATCGGTCATGCAGGAATTATCTACGGGAGTTGTTCAGGACTGGCGCCTATCGGTTATGCAGCAATGCGTACCAGCTACTTGGAGTTTCAGGTGGGGTTGTATAACAACCCCGAGTTAAATCTATTCATCCCTCCCAGGGTTATCGTTCTATTTTCTTGATTATCGTTTTACAGGGTTTGGGGGAAGAACCAACAATTTAGAACCGACGTTCCCGTGAGCCGGCTGGGTTTTCGTTGATTTTTAGTTCAAGCTCAGTACTGGAACCGACTTTCCCGTGAGCTGGCTGGGCTTTCGTTGATTTGTAGAACAAGCTTCATACTGGAACCGACGTTCCCGTGAGCCGGCTGGGTTTTCGTTGATTTGTAGTACAAGCTTGGAATGGCTGGGGTTTCGTTGATTTGTAGTACAAGCTCAGTACTGGAACGGACGTTCCCGTGAGCCGGCTGGGTTTTCGTCGATTTGTACGACAGGCTTCGCACTGGAACCGACGTTCCCGTGAGCTGGCTGGGTTTTCATTGATTTGTAGTACAAGCTTAGTACTGGAACCGACGTTCCCGTGAGCCGGCTGGGTTTTCGTTGATTCTTAGTACAAGCTCAGTACTGGAACCGACTTTCCCGTGAGCTGCCTGGGTTTTCGTTGATTTGTAGTACAAGCTTCATACTGGAACCGACGTTCCCGTGAGCCGGCTGGGTTTTCGTCGATTTGTAGTACAGGCTTCGTGCTGGAACCGACGTTCCCGTGAGCCGGCTGGGTTTTCGTTGATTCTTAGTACAACCTTAGTACTTGCCGAGGGTATCGGTTTAGGGTCGGCCCTATCGGTTCTCGTACAAGAGCGACCTTGTCAAATCCATATGCCCCCTCTAATTAAGGTTACCTCTTCCATAGGTTTTGTCCGATACTCACATGGGGCCAACCAAGGGGGGTCCCAGAAACGCCATAACCGCCACGACAAGTTATCCCCAAAATTCCTGAGGCCGGCACCGCCGGGAAAACGCCCCACTCCATCGACTTCACACTTTCGTCGATCTCCGGCACTGCCCTGGCATGATATTTTTCTAAGGATGAGGAGTTACTGTAACAGAGCGAGTCACAGGCACGAGGGTTTTTCAGAATTTGCTCAGGCTTCCAGGCCAGTGAGGCTCGTCGGCGAGCGGCATGCTGATGACGCAGTACCTTTGCTCGCCGCTGCTCCGCAAGCCAGACGCAAGCCACTCGCAGCCGCTGCAGGCAACTTTGGCTACGAGGCCGAGGGGCCCTTTGTCATTGACAGTTTCGGCCACTGCTGCAGAGAATTCCTCATGCTCATCAGCGCCCTCAGTTGGAGTTTCGTTGAGTTTGAAGACCGTGTGAGAGGCATGACTGACAAGTGATGGGGAAAGGCTGGCTTCTCCTCTCAGTGAGGGCAGCTTGCGAAGAGGGAGAGGGCAGCGGGAGCTCTGCTCACCGGATGCAACAATGTGATGTAAGAGACGTGAAAAAACGAGTCCATTGCTGCAGGGCTTTGCAGGGCTTTGCAAAGGCTCTGGGACCCCGCACAGCGGGCCAGGCCACGTCGTAGCCACCATCCTCCGGGTGTGGAGGACCGACGCTGTCCTCGTCCTCATCACGCACAGCGTTACCAAAGAGGGAACGAGAGAGAGACACAGAGAGAGGGAGACAGAAGAAAGAGAGAGAGAGAGACAGAAGAGAGAGAGAGGGAGAGAGAGGGAGAGAAAGCCGAGAGTGGCTCCAGAGAGCCTCTTGAGCCCAGTTTTCTTCAGCCTCTTCAGCCTCCTCCTATGCCTCCTGTCCCCCTCAACCCGTCTACTATGCGGACCACGTGGACCCATGCGGGCCATGCAACAACTGCATCAAAAATCTCAGGAATGTTGCATTTGCCTCGACGTCTCGTTCACGGTAGGCCATGGCCCTGAAGGGTAAGCAGGAGATTGCGAGAGACCGTCATTGCGAGAAAGCAATGGAAAGCAAACATGGGAAGTAACGGCTTCAACAGAAGCTGGAGCTCCCCGGCAAGTGCCTCTGCCAAAGCCACAGCTCAACGCCCGCCAACCGTCGGTGGCGAAGCTGAGCCGAATACGGAATTCAATGAGTTGCGCAGCAGACAAGAGGGACTCGCATGCAGCCCTGCTTGCAGAGGGTGAGGGGGGAGGGGGGGAGGAGGGGGAGGGCGGGTGCACCTTGGGTTTCACAAAGGGAAGATTTTCCTCGGTATTCAGGCTTGAAATGCCAATCAAACTTGGGCTTGACATATGCACCTACACACAAATCTACACAGCTCGAAAGCGCAAGTAGGTCTCCCCAAAAACACTTCGGTTGCCCTGCGCTTCTCCTGCGGGAAGTCGAGAGCGGGAAGTCAGAATCAAGGCGGCGCATGTTGAGCTCACCGGTGACGCGGCGACGCGCGGTGTCTCGGGTGTTGCTGGCCTGGGTCCCTCGCGGAAGCCACCCTCGAGAGCCGCATGGGCCGCATGGATTACTTCAGCCTGACCCTATGAGCCCTGCAATGGTGTTTGGGATGTGCTTTGATGCTTGTTGCTATGTTTTTTGCCCGAATGCATAGCAGAAGGGTTTCTTGCTTTAAGAGGTGGGGTTCCAAGCGTTGGGGAGTTTCGGGCAGCTCAAGGAGCGCAGACAGTCACGAGGATGAGGCACGCGGGTGGCGCCGTCCTCGTGACTGTCGTGAACTTTTGTTCTGGCCTTTTGCTGTTCACGGCTCAACGATGCAGTCAGATGAAGCACCTGGGGGGTGACTGAGGCACCTGGGGTGCTCCGCGTAACTGCCGTCGCTTTTTAAGTCTCGTTTGTTCTTCGCATCTCAAAAGTGCAGACAGTCGCGAGGACGAGGCCTCTTCAAGTTACTGTTTAAGCTTGGTAAGGAACATTTTCACGGCTCCTGCTCCTGTCGGCTTCAAGGTTTCGTGGAGACAGGCCTTCAAGAGTTTCGAGGGGAGACCAAGCCACCACAACCACAAGCCCAGCCTCTCGCCTTTTTGCGCAACAGAGCACGTGGAAACGGCAACTCATAAGGATTCGGCAGTGAGGTCAACCACCCTACGCCGCTATGCTGAGTAACATTCCAGCAGGCACGGGTTTCAACCCTGCCGCTGGCCTAGAATTGTCCGGACTTTCGCAGGTCACCGTTCGGTGGAGAGAGAGCCACTGGAGATCTATCAAAGCATATCAACGCCTGTACAAGTCTGAGTCACCTCCATGCCACTCGACGCCTCGGGCACGCAGAGTGTCTCGGCCATGCCAGGAGGATCACATCAAGACGCTCAGAGCTTCACATGAGCAGCACTCTTTGTCACGCCAATGCAAGCATAATCTCCGCTAGGCTAAAATTGCAAGCTCAGGGCAGCTTCCTTTTAGGAATGCAACAAGGAGAGCTTGGTCCTGTTGATAAAATTTTGGCGACAGGAGCCCCATCTTAGGGACATCATGGAACCCAACCGCAAGAACAAGCACAGCACGAACACCTCAAGTCATACCCAAGCCGCACCTTTGCATGTCGCTCCACTGTGAGAAGACATGGATTTGAGGGGCGGGCATTCGGCTGGCTACCGATAAGAAATCTGAAAAAGTTTGAGTCAAGCGTTGGCACTCAATTCTGAGGCAGCACGGCACTTGAGCGGAAGGTATTTCGTAAGGGTCCGATGGTCCATTATACGGTCCATTCTAGGTTGGCCTTCTCCGCTCTCAATATCATGCCACGAGCCGGCCACGAGCCGCGTCTATTCAAGCTCAATGACGGAGCTGGCACGTGGCCGCACAAACGGCTCTGGGAAGCTTTGTGAGCTTTTGATCGGACCTGACAGGCAATGTCAAGCTTGGCCAATCTTTGCCACCTTTTTGGGTGTTGGCCTGGCAGACGTGCCGTGGAGATGTCTTCGTCCGACTCGGCCAGATCGGGTCCGCCTCTTCCCGAGCGTGCAACGTAACATACATGGGATGACTCTCAAAAATACGGAGGTTTCGAGTCTGGGAGATGAAGCGAGCCAACTGTGTGCGACTGCGTGCGAGTGAATGCGAGTGAGTGTGTGTGTGTGTGTGTGCGAGTGAGTGCGAGTGAGTGAGTGTGTGTGTGTGTGCGCGCGTGTGGATGTGCATGTGCGACTGTGTGCGACTGTGTGCGAGTGAGAGTGTTAGTGTGAGTATGAGTGTGAGTGAGAGTGTGTGTGTGTGTGTGTGTCTGTGTGTGTGTGTATGTCTGTGTGTGTGTGTGTGTGGGTGTGTGTGTGTGTGTGTCTGCGTCTGCGTCTGCGTCTGCGTCTGCGTCTGCGTCTGCGTCTGTGTCTGCGTTTGTGTCTGTGAGTGTGTCTCTGTATGTGTGTGTGTGTGTGTATGTATGTGTGTAGGTGTGTGGATGTGTCTCTGTGTGTGCGCGTGTGTGCGTGCGTGTGTGCGCGTGTGTGCGCGTTTGTG